TTAAGGCAGCCTAGGCTTTAGCTATGTGAATTTTCATGTCCTTTTCAGTAGAATTTATTCTGCTTCTTAGGTATATAAAAGATTCAACAGATTTTATTGATTCACCTGAGACAGTTTGTATTTAGCCTAACTGGTTAAGGCCTATCAGTTTTAGAGGCATTGACATAGAGTCCAACATCATTTGCAGCATTTTGGAGATGATGTAGGAGAACTGTGGCATTGGTAATGGTGTCTGCAGTGATAGCTAGGTCATCTGCATAGTCAATATCGGTCAACTTTTTTGTAGGATATTAACAAGAGTCTTGGTGATAAAGTAAAACCTAGATGATAATGTTTCTCAAATCTCAACACATCTTATGGGACACTTGTACTGAGCTGCTTCAGTAACCTACAGACAACTTAAGTCAGCTTAAGACATTGAACTGAGCAGAGCTCAAACTAGATGCTCTGGTGAAAATTTTCTAGTAGTCATAAAATTCCTATAGCACTCTGCAGTTCTTCTGCATGCAAATCTGTGGCCAGAATCATTTTCTCAGCTGATATTGTTGCAGTTTTTTGTGTATATATATATATAACTAGTGAGCCAGTCAAAATGACTTGACTCACTTTATAGTCCACCAATAGAAGGTTAACCAATCAGAAGACGAGAATATTCAATCCGTCAGGTATAAAAGGCTGCCATTTTGTTCACTCTACCCAAATGTCCAGTCCAGCTTGTCAGGCGAAGAGAAACAGAAGGACAAACTATGCTCTGCTACCTTTTACCAAAATATCCACTGCTAACCTGAACAACGCTTTCCTACTGTCTTCGAAATATTCACTGCTAACCTTTGGATTCTATACTCGAAAATGACCGTCATCATGAACAACAGATATACCTTTTGATCTAACTCTAAATACCAGAGTTTGAGCCTTCTTGTTAAACAAAGAGGCCAGCTCTGCCTTAGTTATAGCTACTTCACCTATATTTCTGATCTGACATGACATGCTACTATAGATCGACTACTATCTATGCTACTTCTCTGTCTAGGTTGAGAACAAATTTAATTTTTGGAGGTCTTTTGGAGATGCAAAATTGAATTACAGCAAACAGGACGGATATAGTTAGAAGACAAACAATGGAGGAAACAATTTCAATTGTTTAGTACGAAAGAAGAAAGAGAAAAATTGTGAGCTAACCAGTTATCATTCCTCACACATCAGAACTCAATTAAAGAAAATAATTTTTTTGTGCACAATTGACTAAAAGAAAAGGTGGAATAGAAAATATACAATATCAATAATATATACTGAGATCGATTTATTTTAAAGGCAAATCCCATCAAGCCCCAGCAAATATTCCTTCTATTTACATCAGAAAGGTTACCTTAATAAAAATAGTTTCTAGAATCTTTAGATGATAAATCAAATATGACCTGCGACATCAGAAATGAATCAATTTACCCTAAAAAAGCAGCCTGGTTGCAATTGTAATTTAGTGTATAAAGCCCAATGAAATGAAATGCTTCACTTTTCCTTTTTGATGGGAGGCTGGGTAGTTACAAAGTGAACATTAGTTTGAATTTCAACATGGGTTTATTTGTCAAGGAGGTGACTTATTAATATCAGCCTGGAGTAATGATCCCAGAGTGCTTGAAAACAATACCACAGTGAGTGAAATTGGGTAAGCAAAACTTTTTTGGAAGTCGTTGAAGAGGTTGTGCTAGCAGAAAGTCACAAATCATCTTACTTATTATAAAACCCAGGTTGTGTGTGTGTGTGTCTGTACGTTTATATATTGGATCAGATTTCCTACATTTTTCAACCGATTTTAACAAAACTTCACAGGACTACGTAAAATTACCTTGCGGTGGTTCTGACAGTGCCAAAAATTGGAAAAACACAATTTTGCACAAAATCAATTTGAAAACATGATAAAACACGATTCTGTTGCCAGAATGAAAGGGGGACAACTCATATCGAGTTATACTTATTATAAAACCCAGGTGTGTGTGTGTGTGTGTGTTCGTTTATATATGGGATCAGATTTCCTACATTTTTCAACCGATTTCAAACAAAACTTCACTTTTTTTTTGGCAGGTAGTGTTTCTTATTGTCTTGCACACTTTTTTCTTTATTTTTTACATTCAGAATGCTTTAAAATTCCATTTACAAGACAATTGTTTATAATAAAATTCTGTTCAATCGATAGACTCATAACGATTGAAAACAATGTTGGGTTTAACCAATTCGTAAAAAAAAAACTAATTAAGAAATGCGTGTCCGTCAACCTTAAACAATAATCTTTGTCAATTTTATTTTTCAGTCTTTATGATGGTCGATACTTGATCTATCTCTTACTGTTACATCCCCGGGCAACGCCGGGCTCTACTGCTAGTCATTACTAAGAGTTTGAACATACCATCTTTGTTCAACTACTGATCCCACCAGATTATGTGTTCTTTACCGGAATAGGTGCAGAGGGTATTGAAAAAACACAAAATTTGCCTGAACAGACATCTGCAACAGGGATTAGCTAGTTACTCTAGTAGACTACTTCCTTTGAGCTCTCTATACAGAAGCTTTGATGTTGTTGAGGAGGAGGAGGAGGATGATGAAACTAGAGATATTAATTATGTTTGCATTGTCTTATTTTGGTGAACTCTTTTGGGGGTTAGGGAGACAGGATAGTGGAGGAGATAGTTACCTCTTCTGGCCTAAACCTTTCTGAAATCATTTCAGGCTAGCTGTGGAGAGGTGACCAAATTCCTCATAGTACCAGCATATTCATTTTCTCCATAGACAGTGAGTAGCTTCTGGTCAGCATTGTCCAAACAGATAGAAATGGAATTGATGACTTTCTGGACAATTATAGGAAATAAACCCTATTTCCAATACAATTACATACCCATATACATACCATATATAAAACACACCCAAACTTTATTTTCTACCCAATAACAGACAATATTATAAACATGCCAAATAGATTCCACAATACAACACACACTGTTTAAATCATTGATTAGAAATTACCATTATCATATGAAATATTTAGCCAATCAGAGAAAACTAAGTCCCTATTTTTCTCAAGCCTACTTTCAGGAAAAATTTCTTATAAAAGCACATAGATTTTGGCTATCAGAGAGCAGAGATGTCACTGTCTCCATGTCATTCAAACTCCAGAGAAAATGTGGCTACATAGCTATTTCCTTCCCTACCAGCATGTGCTGAAAGAAACATGTGTTGATGATTTCAAACAAATTGTCTCCAACAACAGCAACAGGGGCGGTCAGTGAATCTTTGCTGACAATCAAAATCTTTTCTCAATCTTATAGTTTCCTGTGGATCAACTATCCAAAGACTTTAACTCAACTAAAGACTATTGTTACTCTTTTTTGAATTCCTGTACATATGTTTGTAAATACAAATGATTTATTTAACAGGCATGAGACCATGTTTTCTTTATTTTTATTTTATTATTGTTTGCATTGGGTTGGACTTCTCTTGCACTTATAATCAGGACTCATGGTCACAATTTACCTGAATTAAAGAAAATACATGGATAAATGAGCTCCTGACATGTAGATAGAAACCTCATAGGTTCTTCTTCAGTTTTGATAATTTCAACACTTTTATTCCAAAATCTTTTATAATCAGGGCCAGACAATCTTCATTAGTAGGCAATAGAATGTCCAACATGTGAAAGGTCATGTCTTTTGTAGCATGTTAAACATTAAGCCACTTACCAAATCCGTTAGTGATTTTATGACATAGTCTTGTTTATTTATTTTTTCAAACACAAAGACAAATTTCTTCTTAGTGGGCATCAATTCAAGCAGATCAACCAGGAACCACCTTCTTTTCCTAGGAGTGTGCACTACTTAGCCTACTAGACGAATTCCACAATGGTGGTGGTACATGGGGTAGAGTGTTCCAGGTGTTGAGAGCTTCCTTGTTATCATTTTCTTTCCTTCTTTTTTTTTTTCTATACTTTCCATTTCTTTTTTTATTCTCTTTTTATTTTTCCTCTCACTTGTTATCCTTTTCTTTTCTTTCCTTTTTATCCTTTTCTTTTCCCTCTCTTGTTAACTTTTTCTTTTCCCCTATCCTTTTTTTGTCCTTCTTTTTCATTCTATATCCTTTTCTTTTCCCCGTCTCTTTTTTTTATCCTGTTTTTTTTTTTTTTAATTTTTTCTTTTTCCCCTCTCTTTTCTGTTATCTTTTTTTTTATTCTTTTCTTTTTCTTTATTCTGTACTTTCCCCCTCCTTTTTGGTTTTTTATCCTTTTTTTTTTCTGCCCCCAAACTAAACCCCGTTTCTTAGGATTCGAAGCAAGTCTTGTCGACTTGAAAATAAAAAACTAAACAAAACGGGTCTAGTAAGAAAAAAAAAAACTGCTGTCACGACAGTTCTGGTAAGGTACCTTAAAAATCCAACTAACACGCAAAAATCGTTTGCTGTCTTGCAATTAAAAAAAATCCTCATCAAGACGACAAAAACAAAATATCCTATCTACACCAAAACAGAGGTGGACAAATGTGGATGGGAGTAATCAGTAAATGCAGTGAGCAATCCAAAATAATGACTCACACTTTCAACCCGCGTCTGTCTTTTTAAATGTTTATATACACACATGGTAGCGCTAACAACCGATAATTGCCGAATAGTGACGGAAGAATATTTTACCTAAACAAAAAGTATAATATTTTTATTATGTTAAAAATATATAAATTTTATTTTAGTAGACTAAAACAATCTTTAAAAAATTATAGGCTGCTTCAAAAAATAAATTATTCTATTACCCATGATTCTAGTTGTCGGCTGAATACTAAATTTAGTACTGACCTTGGCAGTACTGTGTAGCATATCGCTATCGTTTTATGAACCATGTGGATGTTCCTTTTGGCCAGTAAAATTCAAAATTTTTATTACTTATATGAATCTGATTTCCATATACGCACGTCTGACCAGTTAGTAAGATCTTTTAGCTATAAAAGAACACAACATATAGGAGAATAATGCCTAAAGGAAAGAGAAAAGGTAAGTTTTAAAACTACTCGACTTGGATGTAGGAATTAGAGATTCCCGCTGAATGAAGATCAGTTCTTAGTATATTTTTATACATAAATTGATCCCTGACTTTATAATAAACCCTATTTGCCACCAGTTGACCAAGAAGCATGGCAAAATCTTTATGGCGGGATTTATTCTTTTTCACTTTCAGTATTCTCCTTAATTTGCTTAAAATAATTTTGATCGTCTGTTTCATTTTGAAAATAACAGATTTTATTGCAAATAATAAATTTCAGATGTTTCGTTTTTTTTCACATAACATAAATGAAAGTTTAATTTCAAGTTTAGTATTTAAAAAGTTTTAGAAATAAAAACTCAACTTTTCTTTTAAAAATCGGGCTTTTTTTCTTTTTTTTTTTTTTTTTTAAATACATTTCATCACAAAAGTAAACGACATTTAAGAAATTATCTAATAATCTAGAGAGGAAGAATTAAATACTGGGAAATCGATTGATGATACTGTAGTCAATTTCTTTGTTAGTAAAAGTTTTTTTTTTAATAATTTTATCTACTGTCTTCATCTTTTTTAAGATTCAGTTTTAGATTTGTTGAAGCAATCTAACTTTATTTATAATTTTTTCTTATTCTATAATCGAATATGATATGCTGATAATTTTCTAAAAAATCGCTGAGATTCATTAAAAAATAAATATTAATATTCGTGAATTTATTTAAAAAAAAAAATTCCCCCTAAAAGATTTCCACGTTGACGTTTTTATTTTGCTACTCGTGGCCAAATAAAACTCTTTTTTTAATTTCCTACAAAAAAAAAATTAAAAAAATCACAATCTGAAATCCAAAATATGCTAAAAAGCCCCTCAAAGACCGAGATTTTTTTTATTTTATTTTACCATATCCGATCTAATGTTACCAAATTTTGCTGTTCACTTTTTTTTCTTAGACTTTTACATGTTTTTTTTTTTTTTTGTTTTGTTTTTTAATTTTTTTTTTTTCTCTTTTCTCGTCTTTTGTTTTCATTCGTCACCGGTGACAAGAATCAGTGCCCGTTTTAATCTCAAATTAGAATTTAAGAACGAAATTTGTTTTTTTTTTTTTTTTTTTTTTTTAACTAATAATTTACAATATCCCTAATTAGCTATTTTTTTTCTTTACCGATTCTCATATTGAAAATGGATAATTATTTTCCTTTACCTCGCCATTATTGTCGAATAATAAAATTTATTTTCGATATCTTGTTATAAATATTTTCAGTCTTTTGCGGCACTACCATCTCTAAAAGAGCAGGACGTTTGATCACGTGACTGCTTTGCCTAAAATTGCACTGAAGATAAGCAAGAAAAAAAATCATTCATTTTCTGCTGGATAATGCGTGATTAGTGTTTTTAAAATTCTTTCAAAAAGCATTTTTTTTTAATTTCCTACATCAAAAAATATGCTGACAAACCATTTTTAGTGTAAAAAAAATCGTCTACACATTTTCTCAATCAATGCGAGCTATTCATTTTTTTTCTAAGTGCGCATCTATAAAAGAACTGTCTTGATTACCCTTTAAACAATCGCGATTTCAATTTAGTTACCATATTTTGCATGGCCCACGTGGCTGTCTATGATCCTATATAGAACCATACATCTATTTTGCTTATTTCTATAGGAGAAATGAGTAGTAAGTTTACTTGTTCACTCGATCAGCAAAAAGCTCATTCATTTTTTTTAATCACGTGTTTAAATCGCCTTTCTTTACGGTTCCTTCTCTTCAGGATAGCATCTCTGATCATTTTCACATTTGTTATATTTCATTTTTATTTCAAATTGCCAGTCGACATTAGATTCAATATCAGTGACAATCTTGCGTTCCGATTTCAATATGCCGTTGGTACCACATGGGATTTTTTTTAAAGTTAAAAACTGTGTACTGTGTAGTGTTTTTGCTTTTTTATTTATTACTAATAAAGGAAGACTTTATTTATCCCTAATTTAAAAATTTGATTTTTATTGATTTATTTCTTACTGTTAAAGTGATCATCAATCACTTGGGTTCCCTCAGATCAAAGATCAAAGATGTTACTCGAGGTTCGCATCTCCAGTACAATCGATTGGATCAGACTCACATTTATTTTAACACCTGTACTTTTAAAGAATTCTTAGTTTATTAATTAATTCTTGAACTTTATATCTTCAAATTAATTTGAAATTACATATTTAAAAAAAAATCTTGTATTAAAAAAAATCGTAACCATTTTTATTTTTATTTTGAACCGAAGCAAAAAAAAAAAAAAAAAATAGATAAGTTATAAATTTGATTCATTTTGAATCAAATTCAAAAAGGTACTTTTTTTACTATTTGATAAAAAATCCCATTTGTTCATTAAGCTTTTTAGAATTTTGGAAAGCAAAATCATTCAGTTAAAAATTTTTTATGTTAAAGACAGTCCCCCAATAAAACCAGTGTATGTACTACTACTGTAATTATTACAAATAAAAACCGGCTTTTTAAAACCAACAACTTGCTATATAATCATGTGATTCGTTCCATCTTTAAATTATGCCGACATTTTCTACGACTGGTCGTTTATAAACGAAAGTAACTGTCTGGAAGGAAAAAAAATGTCATTTAATTTTTCTGTTCCCCCTTTTATGAAAGTAATACTTTTTTTATTTTTGTTCTTCAGTAAGCTAATGAAAATAGTTTTTTTGGATGTAATGATTCTTTCAATAAGTTAACATCACGTCGTCTTTGGTCGGAAAAAATTATTTAGCTAAATCTGCTAAAATAAAATTATTCGTTTAAAATAAATAAAAGTTTATATTGAATCTAATGTCGCCTGATAATCTGAAATAAAGTGGGATGAAATTTGACTCCATTGTATTTTTGCGGCCTGTCCAGTCAGCAGGTGTTTTATTGTTATTTTTTTTTTTTAATATCATGTTCCCTGTGGCATGGACAACGATATTCTGAGTTTATGGAGAAAATTATAATTCTTCTCCGCTTTAATTTTATCAAGTAATAAAGGAACAATTTTGTTATTGACCAAGAAGCAAGCATCATTATCGAGAGAAATGATGCTTCCTACATTTTTTTTTTAATGTACCTAATTCTAGTGTACTAAGGGTTTTTTTTTGGGGGGGGGTTAATGAGTGTGGAATAGATAGGTAATTATTGTTTTTCTTCTCCATCCCCGAGCAGGTGGCTTTTTAAGGAGGGCGGGAATTTGTTAATTTTTTACATGTTTTATTGCACCTTTTGTTCGTTTATATATTTTTAACGGGTCCCGGTGAAAACATGACCCTATATTTTTTTTAACATTACAAGTACGTAATCTTTTTATTTTATTTTAGTAAAATAATTTTTAAGGGAAATAGATTAAGGTTTAAAGTGCCGAATGGGAATGTGAACCACTTAGGCTGTTAGGATTCAACATTTAAAATCCTGATGTAAATAATTAACTTAATTAAGTAACAATTGTTTGTGATCAATTACCTCATGATGTAGTGTACATAGTGAAGACCGAAGATTATTTTTTTTAAACGGCAAAGAATTCTGTTAGTGTTTTTTTTGTTTTTTTTTAAAAAAAAAAACAAAAAAAACAAAAAAAAAACAGTGTGATCCTCCAATCAATCATTCTGTTTGAGGATTTTTATTTTTTTAGGAAAGGTTTTCGATTTTTATTTTTATTTTTTTTTTCCCCATAATGAAAAAGTTAGTATTGTGGCTAAGAAACTGTTTTAAAAACCTTTATGGAAAAAGTAAAAACAAATTCTGAAAGTCAAAGTTTAAATTTTCTTTCATTTGACTTTGAAATCAACAGATAATTATTCTTGCCTTCAAAAACCGAATATTTCAAAAAAATTCTTTAATTAGAAAACAGTTGCTTCGGCACGATCTTTTTTTATGTGCGTATATTAAATCTTTAAAATAATTTATCAGTATCAGCCAACTATGTAAATTTGGCTACAACCCAGTCACACCCTCTTTTTTTTTTTTTTCTTTTTTTTTATTCGTATTTTAAACGCAGTTTTTGGCATATGGTAAGGTTTTACTTAATGTTTTTACGTCATTTGTTGTTTATTTCTTAACTCTTACTGTTGTCAAGTGACTTATTGTTTGTTTTCCTATTTAGTTACAGTGTGTATCTTCAAAGAACAAAAACGTTGGCAGTTTATTGCTTCAGCTAAAAATGCCACTCACTCTCTTAATATGGTTATTTACCCAACGTTTGGTGTATTCTTGTAGAATTTGTTACATGATACGTCTGTCTCCTGCAATCAGACTTAGTCGTCTTTTAGTTTTAAGGACTCGGGATTTTTTTGTTTATTTTTAATAAATGATAATTTTATAAAACATTTCAATTTTAGCATTCAGTCCTTTTGTAATCGCGGATAGTGTTACTGTTGCCTTCATTATAAATATTATATTGCAATAATGTCCTCAACTTTTCTTGTCGAAATAGTGACACGTGTCTTCAGAAGATATCGTGGCTACTTAAAAGGAAATTGTCCTTGAATAAATAAATTTTATTTAATAATAAAAAAACGTTAAGGAATACGGATAATTGATCCTGTTCCCATAAAGTAGATTTGTTTAGAAGTTTTTTTTTATTTATTTTTTAAAAATTCTCTTTGAAATCAGTTTTTCTATTCAGTAAGTGTAAGTTTAAGCTTATTTGAATTTTATACACTCAAGCAATTTCTAAAACTTAAATTGTTTTTCAATTCTCATAATTAAATTTAACTAATCATAAAATTAAAGGAAACTAAATTTTTGCAAGCTCTAAAAAACACTGTGTGGTTTACAAAAACAATTAACTTTTCTAACACTAATCATAATAATATAAATAATTTTAATTATTATAATTAAAATATCTTTTCAAATTAGTTTGTATTCTTGCCTTAAAACATTCATTCATATATTGTTCTAATTATAATGTTTAGTTTAAAAATAGAAATATTTTTCTCTTATAAGAAAAAAATTAGTGAACCTGTTTGAAATAATACATTTTTATGCCATT